AGGTAAGCTCAAATCCAGGTGTTCTAGCTCTAAATCTAGTGCTTTTTCAACCACGTCATACTACTGCAATCAACAGGGTACTTAGAATCAGGACTAAAAACAATTACTCATCAATTCATGAAATGCAGGTGCCTTTTTCAGTCCACAGCTGACACAGTAAAAGTGATTTGATCATTTTTGGTTTAATAAATATTCTGCTGTTGAACTGTGGGAAGAAGATAGGAACAGGAGAAATGTCTTCTCCCCTTCACTTTTAAGCTCTATCCCTTATGTTTCTTTTTCCAGCCCCAGTCTGTGATTTTTCAAAATACCCTTCTTGTGGAAATGCATTCCTCTGAATCAACTTTCTAAATCTCCTAATGAGGAAAGTAATTAGAAAACATATACATGCTACTCAAAAAACTTTAAAGTTCTTTTAATATATATTATGCTCGTGGTTTAGTAATGACCAGATGTATGTAGCATTACCTTCACTTAAAGATATTTTATCCAGTGCCATTATAATAGAGCTCTTGTACTAGATTCTAATTTGGCTCAACAGCCATTTGCTTGATTATTTAAAGTTGAAGAAATACTTCTACTTCTCGTAATACTTGGATCTTACTCTTACTATTCTCTACCCCCTCCAAATACCAGTAAAAAAATATATTTGTTGAACCTCTATTCTGTGTTAGGCACCGGATGTTCAGTAGGGAACAAATCAATATATTTGTTCTTGAAGATAACGGACCAATAGAAAAGACAGGTAAAGGAAATACTCTCAAATAAATATGTAATTATAAATAGTAAAGAAGCCCTGGTGGTACAACAGTTATATGCTTAGTTGCTAACTGAAAGGTTGGTAGTTCAAACCCATCCAGCTCCATGGCAGAAAGACCTGGCAATCTGTTTCTGTAAGGATTACAGCCAAGAAAGCCCTATGGGGAAGTTCTGCTCCATGTGGGGTTTCTTACGAGTTGGAATCAATTCAACGGCATCCAGCAACAACAACATAAATAGTTAAGAGCTACCACAAAGGAACAGAATCCCTGGGCAGTGTAAACAGTTAACCTGCTGGGTTGCCAACTGGAAGGCTGGAAATTGAAGTCTACCCAGAAGTGCCTTGAAAGAAAGGCATGGCTATCTACTTAGGAAAACCCAGCCACTGAAAAACCTCTGGAGCACAGTTCACTCTGACACACGTAGGGGCTCTATGAGTTAGAGTCAACTCTACAGCAACTTTGTTTTGGTTTTTTTTTTCCATGAAGGAAAAATAAATAGTGTTATAAGTACAGTGACAGTGAGACTTGTTTAAAAGGTAGAAATCGTTCCTGAAGAAAGAATACTTATACGAAAGCAGAAGATGTCATCACCAGGTGAAGAGTGGGGGATGAAGTTGAAGTGGGTGAAACATTCCTGGCTCTTGGAAAGTTCTGCAGTGAGAAAGAGTTTGTTGGGCTGGAAGAAATGAAAAATGAAAGAAGACTTCTGAGGGTGGGGCACTGAAGCAGAGGAAGAACAGTGGGAAATGACTTTGGAGACGTAGACAGGGCCATGTGATTCAGGGTTTCTGGGCCAGGTTAAAGACCAAGGATTCTATTCCAAGTAAATAGAAGAACACTTTATGGATTGAATTGGGCTCACACCCCCCACAAAAAAAAAAAAAAAAGTGTTGTAAATGCTAACCCCTATACCTGTGGCTATAATCTCATTTGGGAATGAGTTTTCTTTGCTATGTTGAAGGGAAAGTATTCATGTAGGGAGTGTCTTAAATCAATGTCTTTTGAGGTACAGTATATAAGAGATTAAACAAGCAAGTGAGCAAGCAGAGATGCGGGAAGACAGATGCCATGCCACATGAAGATCACCAAGGAACAGATGCTGAAGAGACAAGGACCTTCCCCCAGAGCTAACACAGAGAGAAAGCCTTCCTCTAGAGTGGGCACCCTGATTTTGGACTTCTAACCTTAACTGTGAGAAAATAAATTTCTGTTTGTTAAAGCCACCCTGTGATGGTTAAGACTGTGTGTCAACTTCACTGGGCCATGATTCTCAGTGTTTATATGTGATCATTCCCATGATTGAATCTGCTGTGAGTAGCCAGTCAGTTGAAAGGGAGTTTCCCTGGGGGTGTGGCCTGCATCCGAATATAAGCAGATGTTCTGGCTTTTTGCTCACTCTGGATCCTGCAGCTGCCTCCTGTTCGTCTGATCTCCCGTTCTTGGGACTTGAGCTATCAGCTTATCTGCCAATCTTGGGATTCGTCAACCTTCACAGCCTGTGAGTGGAGCTCTGCTCTCCAACCTGCTGATCTTGGGTTTACCAATCCCTGTGGCTATGTGAATTGGGAGAAGCCTCTACACTAATCGACGGACTTGGGACGTTCCAGCCTCTACAATCACATGAGCTGTTTCTTTGATATAAACCTCTCTTTATATATATTTATATGCTTTACCAGTTTTATGTCTCTAGAGAACTCAGCCTAAGACACACCCACTTGTGGAATTTCTGTTATAGCAGCACTAGATAACTAAGACAGATACTGAAAGGGTTTAAGCACAGAGGGGACATGAGCCAATGTATGTATATGGCTAAATTAAGCCACCACCAATATTGGCCTGGAGGCCAGAGTCTTTACTTGGAGCTCTGGCTCTGTTGTTAAAGCAGCAAACTAACAGAGGGCTAGTCTTTAATGTCCTGGGCCTTTTTCACTCACTGTGTGTGTTGGGCGGGGGGGGGGGAAACAAAACTTAGAGTATCTAAAATCTTTCCTAGCTTTAACATTCAAAGATGCCAGCAAATATGAACAAATATTTTAATGTTGAACATTCAGACTCTTTAATATTTATCTATAGTGTGGTGTCTGTTTATGCAATGACGAAATTGCTGGTCAAACCATAATAGGGCATGTAATTTGCATTCACCATTTTTCATAATAAATGAAAGCACTGTTAGGTAACAAGCTAGAGTTTGAGGGTACTTTTGGTGCTAAAAATATCCTGTATGTTTTATTGCCTGCTTAGAACAATGCTTTCTCTTTTACTACAGTAATAATGCCACCTTACATCTGCATAGCTCTTCAGTTTTCCAAGTATATTAGCTCTTTAATGATAGGGACCAGGTGTTCATTTTCTCTTTAGGGTGGCCAGCATACTATGCGATGTAACTAAGAGGGCTTTCCTTTTTTTTTTTTTTTTTTTAAGACAAGTAATAACAATTAGTTTGAGATATACTTGAAAAGGAGATGCACTACACTAAAAAACAAATTCTAGAATGCAGCTATGAATGAGCCACTGCCCTGAGACCAGGTGGTTCCTTACTGCTCGAGTACAAGGCATTCTCCACAACCTAGATTCCATCTACTCTTAAAGATTACTGCCACCTCATACCCCTCCTCAGTGTTTTCTTAACCCCAGTCCACCCCACCTCCACACACAGCTGGTCCCAAGTTTGGTTCAAGCTGTTCTTCCCAAGTGGCATGTCCAATCTCTTCTCCTATGGAATATTCAGCTACTTACAACATGAGCAAGGTACAGACTGACAATGTGTGTCTCATACAGTAACTCAATTTTCCCTCACTTTCCTCTTCTTGAACAATTGCTTTATTCTCATCCATACAGAAAAATCAACTGCCACAGAATTGATCCTAGCACAAAAGTAAGCATGGGCATTGAAATCTTGTGGAAATAGCCTTTAAGAAAATCATCCAGATAATCCAGAATTTTTTTTTTTTTTTTAAGATCATAAAAAATAATGGGATTCTCCAATTGTAGCTCTCCAAGTTAGCATCTACATATACTCAGGAGTCCATGGACCCAGCATGACAAATACTGTTCAATACAATTTATTTATATTGCAGCAAAAAAACTTTTCCTGAAAGCTTCTTTCACAAAATCCATATACCCCCATTGATAGGAATAGGACCCTCTCAAAGAGGAAGGTCCCATTAGTGCAAAGTAGGAACTACAAAGTAAGCCACGGCAGTGAAAAGGTTTTTGTCTGAAAGGCAGTTCATTCCTTAGCTGCCAAATACATACAAAAAAATAAGCCAAGTAAATTCAATAGACTTCAGATTTGGTTTGGGAGTGGAAAAAACACTGTTTCCCTCTAATTGTAATCAAACTCTGTTCTTATGTATTTTTGGCACATCATCATTTTCTACTTTTTCTGTATCCTAAACTTGATTTTAATATTTCTCCTAAGTAGTGATTAAATAAGAGCAACTTTATTTCTGAACACAAGTTATAAAAACAATGAAATGTCTTTCTTTATAGTAGCTTCTAATTAAGACATGTGGATTGAGTGTGCAAATTTTTATAGAAATGTGATATTTAAAGAAGGCTGTCCCAATTTTTAGATGCAGTAGTAAGAAATTGTACTTCCTTTCCAATTACTTGTAATGGCCACCCAGGTCACTTCTCAAATGCTTCTGATAGCAGCAACCTAGCTGGAAGAGTAAAATTACATTTCTCTTTGAAGTTCAGCTTTCTACTCGTAATTTTTCTATTCATAGCAAAGTTCAAGTAAATTTTTTGAATAACAGAGCATCTAAGAAAACAAAGCTATTGGGCTAAATTTGAGAAATGAAGAGAGTTCAGACAATAGTATTTAGTACCTTTACAACTAAAGCCTATGATTTATTCAATTAAAAATAGAAATGGTTAAGGATAGCATTCAATTTACTCAGTTACTTAGATTATAAAAGTAATTATCATTTTAAAAGTATAATATGTATATTCCAGCAAAACTAGATAGAATTAAACTCTTTACTCTGAACCCCATTTTCTCACGAGATCCAAATTGGGAAATATATTTCACACCTATCACAGTGACCCAATGGGAAAGGTGTTCTCCAGGAAAGTGCTAAAATTCCTTCTGTCTAGCCATAGAGGACTGAAGGCAGTTCTGGTCCCCTGTCCCCTGGAGACAGGGATAGGAAGTCTTTCCTAGCTGGATAACAGCCGTCAAGGGAATACTGGTTTTACTTCCAATTTAACAGTGACAGTTGTGGGGAAACTCACCTTTCTCTTTGAAGGAAAAGAACTTGATTTACATCATCTTGAATTTTCATGCGTCTGAATCTTCAAATAACAATGGCAGGGTTCAAATCCTAGTTCATTAAAATTGTTTCTTAGAAATTTAATTTGCTAGGCTGACATATGTTAATTAATCTTTCACTATATAAACATTATGCCATTTACCTCATTTCTCACCCCCCCCCCAATGTGGGATCATACCAATAGAATTACTTAAAGATAGTGTGTTAATGACATATTCTATATAGCACAAATAATTTTAGAACATTTTTAACATCCACCCTATAAACCAGGCATTTATTTACACAGCTCTAACAATCCAGTGCTGACAGCTGTTGGCCAGTGGTAGCCTTTCTACTCAGGACTGCATCTAGAAGGGCTTTTGGAGGGAGAACTGGTAAATTCAGCTTATCTTATGCTCCTCCTCACACTTCATTTATTTACTGACACCTTAAGGAGTGACTATCATGCTCACTGAGTTTAATGAAAGAGAAATGCTAATGTAATAAAAGGGTAAAGACCCCTCGCCCTCAAGAGCTTAATAACGGGATAGGGAGATAAAGCACCAAATCTGGAGTCAGATGATGCAAGCTGGAATCCCACTCATCCCTTTGACCTGAGGAAAACTGATTAATGTTGTTGGGCCTCAGTGTCAGTGTCCCCATTTTAAAATTGGGATACTACTGCTTTATTTTATATAAGAATAAAATAAGAAGCATATGTGGAAGTTCCTAGCACATGCTTGGCATACAGTAAATGCTGAACTATGAACTTGTAGAACACGTTGTACGTAAAATAGACTATTTCTACTTTTAACATTCCTTACCTTGCTTCTACAACCTATATCTCACCTCTCATCAACCTTCTTGACTCATTAAAAAATATTTGACACTTTTTCTTTTTCCATTAAATCTCTCTTGCGTACTAAGATCAAATCAATTCTCTTACAAGGCTAGGGTTAGCTCCTTTTCTCCAAAAGCTAAAGACTCTGTTGTCTTAAGGGTCAAATTAAAAATCATGATCTTGAAATACAAAGCTCAAAATACAGACCCCTCCATCAGCTTCCTCACAGAACATCGGCTTCAGCCTACTGGAGGAAAGTCTAAGCATTCCCACCTTCTTAAAGCCTTTCCTGACTGCCTCCAAGCAATAACTATCTTGCCCTTCCAAGTCTTAGGTCAAAGGGATAAGGGGATTCCAACTTGCATCATCTGACTCCGAATTTGGTGCTTTATCTCCCTATCCACGTTATTAAGCTCTTAAGGAGGAAGGTTATTTTTTGGATTAGAGGTAAAAAATATTTTGAAGGAAAGGCAGGGAAATGGTATTTCTAAATGGAAATGTCTTGGTTAGCCAGAAGCACAGAGCAGGCACTTAAGTGAAAGGAAATACTGGTATGACACTAATCAGCTGAGGCATAAATGAAGCTTTGAGAAACAAACAAGTCCCTGGACTAGAGAATAAAAATATATATTTCAACTATTGTTGGCCATCAGAATCATTCATGGAGCTTTTAAAATTTGCCCATGCTTAGGGCCTCCCCACCTGAGGCTGTGATCATAGCCAGGGCTGAGAATCACTGGAGCAGGGAAAGAACAGAGGGCAAAAACTGAGCTCCAAGGAACTCCCAAGGCAAGGTCAGAAGAGGAAATTTATAAGGAGGTAAATTTTACAGAAATAAAAGGAAAGCCAACAAAAAAGAAATATGTCAGGATACAAAGAGGAGGAGATTTCAAGGAGGACCAAAAAAACAAAACCAAATCCATTGCCATCGAATGGGTTCTGAATCACAGCGACCTTATAGGACAGAGGAGAATTGCCCCACAGGGTTTCCAAGGAATGGCTGGTGGACTTGAACTGCCTATCTTTTGGTTAGCGGCTAAGCTCTTAACCAGTGTGCCACCAGCGCTCCTTCAAGAAGGAACAGGTGACAAAGACAACAGCAATTGCTATTTACAGATAATGGCAATGCACCTAAAACAACGCATGGCTCCTAGTAGGTGCTCAAGGGATACATACTGAATGAATGAGTGCTGCAAAACCGGCATCTACTCACTGGGGTTTAGAAGCACTACAGTTTACAGATTTTACACTGGATGAGTATCATCATGGAGCACATGGTCTTCACAATTTTGATGGTCATCAAAAATTGGTCTCTGGTACAGAAGAAAATATAAAACCTTTCAAAGTGAAAACAAATTCTTTCATTCATCCAGCCAGTTAGCCAACCAGTCAGCTAACCATATATTTATGTATCCATTCATTCAGCAGTCATTTACTCCAGGAAATGCTAGCACTTCAAAACTTAATCTTCAAGCCTTGTTATTTGCATTAATTTGCATATAATTTTAATCTACTTCAAAACTTTAGTAAAGCACATTTAACATGCATTTTTTTAAATATTTGAAATTCATTTTGACAGATTCTTCAAGCAAAAGCATATTTTTATTATGTTCAGATGATTTTTTGCCTAATATCTGCTGTTGTTCCACATGTCTCAACTTCACTAGAATTTAGTTTTGTTATGATCCTCAAAGTGTCAGACTTATGGGTACTTTCAGAATTATCACATCAATGTTCTTAATGCAAATTTCAGCTTTGAAGTCATTCATTACCAAAAGAGAAGGCCAAATCTCTTTAAGCATGAACTATCTTCCTAACTCTATAACTATCACTGCCACTTTTACAACCGTTTTAAAGGCAACCAATTAAATTAATATTTTCATGTAATACATGAACAAATCCTCACCTCTGTCACTAACTTCTCTATTAGAAAAAGTTCTCCATGTATGGTAATTTCATGCATTTTTACCACTGTACTGATTCGCAAAAACCTGTAAATAAATAAGGTAGGATGTCACCAATGCTGGATTACTAACATTAGTTCAATACACAATATTTCAACAACTGTTAGTATGGAACATTGATTTATTCAAATTTTACACAAATAATGACAGTTACAATTTTAGTTTCTATTTCCCAAGCATCAACAAACATTTAAGATCAATCACTAGAAAATGAGCCTCATGTTACAGGTCAACAACCAAAAGGTATGGGAATAGATCTTTCAAGCAAACAATGGCAAAATTAAAGACATTACTTTAATTTTTATATATGTGTTCTCACATATTATAAATGGAAATGGGTAGACGAATTAAAAGAAAGCTTTCTACTTCCATGAGAAATATATTATCTCTATCAGTATTTTAACACATTTTTTTCTGAAATATGATAGCTATAATAATAAACTCTTTACGAGTTGGTTAGAGAAGTAACAATAAACATCTCAATATTTACTATACCTAAATTACAGTGCTAGTCCTTGCGTACGTAAAGATAAGATGCAATTTTTTTTCCTTTAGGAGCCCACAATGAATGGCACACCATTGAATGGAATTAAAACCCAGTTTACCCAAGTTTGACAGCTTAGAATCTCTGTCTCTACCAGCTGCTGGAGAAGAACAGCGGCTGCAGTTGGACCTATGCCTGGATCAATAGTTCACATCCAGTATCAAGTCCCGAAGAAGACCAGTATCTCTGCTCTATTACAAAAGTATGCAAAACTAATTAAGAAGGTACTACTTCCAGCCATCTCAGTCAGATGTCAAGAGAGGTAAGTGTCAGCTCCTTCTGTCCCCAATCTACATAACATCCTTTAAGTCTACACTCAGATCATAATAGCAAGATTTTTTAAAAAAAGAATAATCTTCCAACTGACAGTTCAATCCATTTATATAATATATAGGCTCTAAATTTTATCAAGGTGTTAATAACAGGAAATACTAACAATGATTTCCTTTCTCATTATGAATCCTATCTAGTCTAAGTTAGCACAAGCAGGGATCTTAGCTAAGGCTGAAATGTTCAACCTTCACTCAATATTTCTCTTGGGGCAAGTTATAATTGGATGTCACACCTATTAATTCAACTTCATTCTGATAATTATTTAATAATTTTCCTCATATTTCTTTTTACAACTACATTTAAAATAGCATTAATATATGCAACAATAACATTTTGAGACATATAAATGACTTAACATTGTAACTACTATATGATCACCCCACAGGAATCACTGGCACTACACTAACACATTTCGGATCAATACAAAAACAATACTTTACTGTATTCTAGATATCTATTGCTGTTTACAGATAATTATGATGCACCTAAAATAATGCATGGCTCCTAGTAGGTGCTCAATCAATACATATTGAATGAATGAGTAAATGAATGAGTGCTGCAAAAATGATATCTAAAAACTCAGTGTTTCTATAAGGCTTATTAAAAAAACTAGTCTGCATTAACGAACATCTTCTATCTTCAAAATGAAAAATCAGTGTGAATAATTAATATCTACTTTAATTTGTTCTCATAAGCTGATTAAACCAACATTTCCACTTAGTCCTGTGAGAAATGAAGATTATAGGTAAATAATATATTTATACTCCCAAGGTTATAAGGTTCTTAAATGAAAGTCAGGAGATAAGTCCAATTCCTTTTACTCCATGCTGTCTTACTGAAGAAACAACTACTAGTTTATTCTTGTAACTCCACTTTTTAGATTCATAATCACTTCAAAGCCTTTGCCAAATAAGTCCTTCCACAATCTATCTGCAGAGGGACCCCCATGAATATTAAGCTAAGTGTTGATGGCAGAGTGGTTAAGAGCTCAGGCTGCTAACCAAAAGGCTGGCAGTTCAAATCCAACAGCCACTCCTTGAAAATCCTATGGGGGCAGTTCTGCTCTGTTCTATAGGGTCGCTATGAGTCAGAATTGACTCAATGGCACATAACAACAACAAGAAATCAGGAAACTATCAGAAAAAATTTAGAAGGAACAGTAGCAGCATTCACACAAGGCCAAGAATAGTGTCCCTTCTTAACAGTCAAATTAAAAACCAAAAGATTCATAGACTACCGGGCAGAGTACAAAGAAAGGTCATGGCTAAGTCATGGGGAATACTTAGACCCATACTGATTAACTGCTGTGGTCCCACCTAACAAATCTTAAAACGATAGGATTAAAACTGATAGGATTAAACTTCTTCCAGGAAATGTAACCATATCCCAGACCAAAGATCAAGAATATTTATAGGAATAAAAAAATCAATCAGCACACAACAAAACAAAACTTAGACTAGGTGGCATCCAATAAAAAATTACCAGGCATGCAAAGACTGAAAAATCATGTATAATGGGGAGAAAAATGAACCAATCAAAACTGATCCAGAACCATCAAAGATGTTAGAATGAAGCAAAGACATTACAACAGTTATTACAACTATATTCCATACGCTTAAAAATTTAAGATCTACCCACTGCTGTTGAGTCAATTCCAACCCATAGCGACCCTAGAGACTGAGCAGAACTGCCCTATAGGGTTTCTAAGGACCGTCTGGTGGATTCGAACTGCCAACCTTTGGCTAGCAGCCAAGCTCCTAATCACTATGCCACCAGGGCTCCAGTTTAAGCATACCCATTGCTGTCAAGTGGATTCTGACTCATAACGATCCTATAGGACAGAGTAGAACTGTCCCATAGGGTTTACAAGTAGCGCTTGGTGGATTCAAACTGCTGACCATTTGGTTAGCCGTGGTAGCTCTTAACCACTACTCCACCAGGGTTTCAAAACAGAGATATACATGCATAAAAAGAACTGAAACATAATTCTAGAGATTAAAAACTATAATGTGTGATTAAAAACTATAATACTAGGTGAGATTAACAATGGATTAGACATTGCAGAAAATAAGACGAGTGAACCTAAAGACACCAAATAGAAACGATGCAAAAAAAAAAAAGAGAGAAAAAAAATTTTTTTAATTGAATAGTGCATTAATAAGCTGTGGGACAACTTCAAGCAGCCTCATAAATGTGTAATTAAACGAGGGAAGGACAAAAAACATTTAAAGAAGTAATGGCCAAAAATATTTAAAATTTTGTGAAAACTATTAATAGATCTAAGAAGCTCAAAGAACTCCAAGCACAAGACACAAAAACTATACTAAAGCACCTCATAAACAAATCACTCAAAGCAAGTGACAAAGAGAAAATCTTATAAGCAGGCAGACCAGAGAGGGGGAAAAAAAAAGGCACATAGAAAGGAACAAAGATAAGAATAGCGGCACATTTCTCGTTAGAATAACAGAAATAAGAAAATAGTGGATCGATATATGTATGTATGTTGTCAGGTGTCGTCAAGTCGATTATCGACTCATAGTGACCCCCACTCATGTGACAGAGTACAACGGCCCCATAGGAATATATGTCCAATAAGTGAGTTTAGAAAGGTTGCTGGATTAAAAAAAAAAAAAAATCCACTGTATTTCTAAATTCTACCAACAAAAATTGAAAACAGTAATTAAAAAGCAACATCATTTATAATAAAATTTAAATGATGTGAAATATTTAGACACAATCAGACAAATAATGTGAAAGATCTATACACTGAAAATGCAAAAGGTTTCTGAGAGAAATTAAAGAAGAGCTAAATAAATGGAGAGATGAACCTTCTTTATGAGTGAGAAGACAAGGCATTGTTAAGATGTAAATTCTCCCTAAACTGCACTACAGACTCATCACAATCCCATCAAATTCCCAGTAGGCTTTTATGCAGAAATTGACAAGCAGATTCTAAAATTCTTATGAAAATACAAAAGATCTAGAATAGTTAAAACAACACTGAAAACAGGAACCAAGTTAGAAGACTAACACTATCTAATTTTAAGATTCATATTATAAAGCTACAATGATCCTGATAGTTTTTGAGTCCAGAAATTAACCCACATGTATACTGACAACAGATTTTCAAAAAAGGTGCAAAGGCAATTCATTACAGAAAGGGTCGTTTGTTTTTTTTTACAATGGTGAGGCACAACTGGATATCCATATAAAAACGAAATAACCTTGGATGCATACTTTGCCCACATGCAAAAACCAACTCAAAATAGATCACAGACCTAACTGTAAAACTTAAAACTATAAAACATTTAGAAGAAAACAAAAGAAAATTTTTGCAACCTGGGTTTAGTCAAAAGTTTCTTAAATATGACAATTAAAGCAAGACTCAGAATATAATGCGAATTGTAATCCACACTATTAAAATGGCTAAAGTTAAAAAGATTAACCATACTAAATATTGGCAAGGATGTAGAGCAACTGGAACTCTTAACATACTACTAGTATAACACTGGTGGGAAAGTAAAACTGCACGATCACTTTTGGAAATAGTTTGGTAGCTCCCTAAAAGTTAAACAAACACCTACCACTGGATCTAGCCATTCCACTCTTAAGTATTAACACAAGAAAAACAAAAGTATATGCACCTAAAAAGACTTATACACAAATGTTCACAGCAGTTTTATTTGTAATATTCAAAAATTAGAAACAACTCAAAGGTCCATGAACAGGTTAGTGGATAAACAAATCGTGGTATACCCAAACAATGTAATACTACCCAGCAATAAAAAGGAATAAATTATACACACTACATATCATAAAACTCAAATTATGCTGAGTGAAATAAGCCAGACATAAAAGAGTACATGCTGTCTGACTCATTTTATATAAAAATATAAAACATTTAAGCTATTGTGTAGTGACAGAAAGCAGTTTAGGGACTGGTGGGGAAGCAGGACAGGGAAGTACATGAGGGAGCAATTATAAAGCAGCTCATGGCAAGATTTGGGAAAATGAATATGTTCATTATCTTGATTGTAGTGATATTTTCATTGGTGTACATGCATGTCAAAAAACCACAAATACTACAACAAATGTTGCCAGGTAAAATGTCCCGAAAAGAGCCAATACAGACTATAACAGAAACAGTGCA